CTGGAGGGTAGCTGCCAGTTTGGAGTCCACAAGAAAAATTTCATTCTACATCCTATTAGAGATGAGTCTGTAGTTTGAAGCCTGTACAAAAGAGTTGGAAAAATGGGTCTGCTTTGGATATTGGCAAAAGGAAAATCTCCCAAGAGCACTAGCAAGGGAGTCAGTCCATGGAGGATGCTGAGGGGTTGGTTGGAGTCACATGACAATCCTTGAACTTGAACTTGACTTGCAGGCAGTGGGAAGAAAGTCTTTGGCCAAATCTTTGTCACATGCTGTCCATTGGTTGAGTACTAATCACATGTTCTCTTCTTCGTATGCATCTTATACATGGCTCTACTTTAAAAAATAGATTCAATTTATTTACATTCTGAGAAAGAAGAGAAAACACGTATTAAACAAATTAAGTAAAACAATCTTCAATTTTTATATAGTTGCCCTCTACCTTCATCTAGTTATTCTTATGCATCATTTAGGTTTCTGATTTAAATGTCACTTTCTCTGTTGAACTTTAATACTCAATATAGGCTGATGGTTGTTTTTTTTTTTCATTCATTTGTTTTGTTTTGAGGCTATGTAGGCCATTGTTGGCCTTTAACTCTTGTTTTTCTTGTCTCCATGGCTAAGTACAGGCATTCTCCTCATGCCCAGCCACATGTATTTTTTCTTTTAGAATGTTGTTGACTGAAAAACAAACAAAAATACAACTCTCCTATTCACAACTCACACAGACAATCCAAAGTGACTGGTATCCACCTTTAAGACCAAAACCTCTTGGTGATATGTTATTCCCTTTGGTCTAGTTATGCTCCAAATATGTTTAAATACACTAAATAATAAAGACCTCCAACATACACAGTATCCAGTGCACAACATCTACTGTAAAACCTTTATTATTCTTTGTTGGTTGTGGGTTTTGAACTGAGGGCCTGAGCACTGTCCCTGAGCTTTTTTGCTCACAGTTAATGCTGCTCCTCTTTGAGCCACAGCCCCACTTCTGTTTTTTAAGTGGTTAATTGGAGATAGGAGTCTCACGGGGACTTTTCTGTCCCAGCTAGCTTCAAACTGCAACCTGAAGAGTTGCAGGCATGACCGGTGACTGGCTGAAACCTTCTATTGACAGTTGACTGGCTGAAACCTTCTATTGACAGTTGACTGGCTGAAACCTTCTATTGACAGTTGACTGGCTGAAACCTTCTATTGACAGTTGACTGGCTGAAACCTTCTATTGACAGTTGACTGGCTGAAACCTTCTATTGACAGTGGCATACGTTATGAGCTTTGCACAGAGAAAGGCAACCACAAATTGCCAACCTAGTTCCTTTACAGTTTGTTGACTTGGAGAAACAAAACCATGAGGGACTTTCTTCTCTTCTCTGCACAGTTGGTCTCAGTGAGGGACTGGGTGCTCAGACATTGTATCATTTGTGGTTGGCGTTCTCTTACAACAATGTCTTAGCTAGCCACCCATTGTTTATTGGCCACTCCACGGGTAAAGAATCCTAATGGAGAAGGAGACAGCTTGCCTAGCTGAGGGGGGGTGGGGGAGGCTGGGAAGCACCTGGGAGGTACATAGCCCATCACCTGTGTCCTACAACCAAACTGCATAACAACCCAACTTGCGTTCTTTGCTATGTACCAGATATTAGCTTACCTCCAAGTTGTGCGAACAAGAGTATAAGTAAGAGATCTACATGGGAATAAATACTTGGGAGTAGGATGTCAACATGTGAATGTGTGTGTGTATGTTGAGGGGAGGGGGATGGATCCAAATCATCTCCTAACAATAGAGAAGTGAGAAGAAGCACCAGCTATTGTCTGAGGTGACCTAGATAACCCAGGAGGCTTAGGAGGGGCTAGAAGGGGCTCAGAAACAGAGACCTCAGTGTGGACAAGTGGGCCAGGGGCTTCATCACAGTGGACTAGGATTTATGGCTGCTATCCAAGTAGTAGATAAGGGTCCTGCAGCTGCCCAGAGCTGAAGGTCACTCTAAGGGGTTCTTGTTGCCTTATATGGTGGTAGCTGCCCCAGAGAAGTGCTATCCCAAGGTAAAGGGGGTTGGAGGTTGATTATTTACTGCCTTTCTTCCTAGTGTTGCCTAGGAAGGGAGCTTGCTAAGCTGTGGAGAAGGGAAAGAGTGGACTAAGCTATGGGAAGGGAGCTCATTTTGCTAACAGTACTGATTAGAGCTATGCTGGCTAGGGCTGGCCTTTGTGTATGTATTTGCAAGTACTAGGGCTTGAACCTTGAATTTAGGAGACCTTGAGATCTTGCTCAGATTTTTCACTCAAGGCTGGCACTCATCTTTTTGGGCCATACCTCTGCTTCCAGCATTTTGCTGGTTAATTGGAGATCAGAGTCTCTTGGATTTGTCTGCTCCGGGTTGGCTTTGAATTTGAGTCCTCAGATCTCAGACTCCAGAGCAGCTAAGTTTACAGACCTGAGGCACGGGTTACCTGGCTTGACTTACTTAAGAAATTGGCTCATAGGATTGTTCAATCCAACAGTTCTGGAGTTTGCAGGGCAGAATACCAGGCTGAAAGTTCAAGGAAGAATTCATGTTGTAGATGAATTCTCAAGGCAGTCTGGAGACCGAATTATTTCTCTAGGGACCTCAGTTTTTTTTTTCCCTCTTAAAGACCTCAATTGATTGGATGAAGTAATCTGCTTTACTGAGTCTATTTATTTAAATGTTCACCATGTATTTTAAAAAATACATTCACAGCAGTATCTAAACTAATGTTTTACCAAAAACTAGATTACCATGTCCTAGACAAATAACCCATAAAATCAAAGAGATAAGCTATGAACTCTGTGAATGAATAAATGAGTTACTTAATTGTGAATCTAAGTTTATAATTAGTACACATACTAATCCAAATGAGACATTCTTACTGGACCAAATTAGATTAAAAGAGAGACATTCAGAACCTACACACACTTCTTATCCTGGAGGTAGACAAGGCAGAACTCATTGTCTTCCAGATAGAACTCTCAGCCCTGTGACCACTGTCCCATTCCCTAATTCTCCCTTCCCACTTCTCACACCTTTGCCCCTGAGACGTGTTCTGACCAAGTAGCCCAGCCTGAACTGAAGTTCACAATGTGGCACAGGCTGGCTGCAAACGCCCCTTGATCCTGCCTGAGCCTCCAGAGTGCTGGGATTACAGTTGTGTACCACCACAGCGCCTGTTGGGCTCCTCTTGGTATGGATTATATTATTATTTATACCACAGTTGTGATGATTTGGCACAAGACAGAGTGTTTTGTCTAGTTTTTTTTTAAAGGCACACTGTCACAGTTTGGACAGTACCTTTCAATGACTAAATTGCCTGTGAGTCCACGTAAAAATCACTTTATTTACTGAGGAGCAAAGTCCTGGAATGGTTTCGATTTCTCCCAAACATTATACCCATATTTTTAAAAAATTAATCCCTTTAAGGGCAATCTACACTTTATAGAACTCTTGTCTGCAACAGGTCCTATACAACTTTTCCTGTTACATTTTAAAATTGTTATCAGTGACTTTTTCAATAGCTCAGTAGGAAAATTCAATGTTTAAGACATTGTAGAAACTTGAAATTTTATGACAAGACCTAGCACCTAAGTATATGTAAATGTATATGAAGGTGAATTAGTAAGAATGACGTGGGGAAATGGTCAGACCTTGTACTGTGATTTTTGGTTTTGAAAGTAAGTAGTGACAGGAGTTTCCCTTGGCAACAGGCTATTCAAAGGTGCTTAAACCAGGCTCCCACGGCTCAAGCCTGTAATCCTAACTACTCAAGAGGCTGAGATCTGAGGCTAGCAGTTCAAAGATACAATGGTCAGGAAGTCTTATCTCCAATTAACAACCAAAGAGCCAGAAGTGGAGCTGTGGCTCAAGTGATAAGGAGTCAGATTTGAGGAGAAAAGCTAAGGGACAATGCCCAGGTCCTGAGTTCATGTATAGTACTATCATGAAAAAGATTTTTGTAAAGTTCCTTGGAGGATGAATGGGGATGTAAGTTGTTTATTTTCTATTTTCATAGAACAATAAAACCTGTTGAAATTGTTTTAAGAAGGGAGAGTGGGATGGAGGAGATGGAGGGGATGCAAATGATTGGTATGTCTTCATATTCCTGTGGAAATGACACAACGAAACCCCTTTGTACCTCTGATGAATACTAATGAAAATGGGAAGGGGGTGGAGCGTCTCTCAACTGTGGTGTTAGCGCCAGACTGCTTTCTGCACATTTGCTACCTTATAGTTTTCTAGGCCTGAGTAAACTTATTTTTAGAAAGTAGAGATTTGGCTTGTAACTTAACCAAGTCCTCCTCTACAAACTACCCTCTACTTTGTGAAGTTGGTGTTATTTGGCAAATTATGAATCAGTGTCAATTTGTACAGTGCATAAATACTGATTGTGGGAAAGTTGTACAGATTACTCTATTTTGGATAACAAATGTTTTTCTCTAACCGTTTCTTGTCATTTAAAAATTAATTCCTGCCGTCACAGATCCTGATAACTACTACACCAACAATGGTATCACCAAGTAATACAGTCTTGCCAGGCAATTAGGACATCCAAGACTTTTACTTCACCAACGCTTTTCGGTGCATTCGGTGCGCAGACCAAGTGAAACCGGCCGTACCAGTCCAGCTCCGCCCCAGGACTGTCCCCACTCTCCTCGCAGGGCAGCCTGGGACGGAGGGGCGGAGCTGGAGAGCCGAAGCCACGCCCTCCCTCCCCTTCACTGGGCGTGGTTAGGCGATGAGGGGCGGAGCCAGAGTTCCAGGGCTACGCCCCTGCCCTCTTTGTGGGCGGAGCTGGACGGGGTGAGGCAGAACTGGAGGCCCGGAGCCACACCCCCCACCCCTCCCTGCCCTCTTTCTGGGCTAAGATGGGCGGGTAAGGCGGAGCCGGAGGCCTTGAGCCACGCCCTTTGGTCCTCTTTCTGTGCGGAACTGGGCGGGGCGGGGCGGAGCCAGAGCCCCCGGGGCCACGCCCCACAGCTCGCTCTCCCGGCGGAGCGGGGCAGGGGAGGCTGGACTCTTGAGGACTGGCTCTGAGCTTCTGCTTGGGCCGCGGAGCCCGGGAGCCGCCGCGATGAGCTGGGCCCTGGTCCTCTGGCTGCTGGAGCTGTGCGCGCTGCTCCTGGCGCTGCTGTTGCTGCTGCGCTTCCTGCGGGCGGATTGCGACCTGACGTTGATGTGGGCCGAGTGGCAGGGGCGACGCCCAGGTGAGCATCCCCCAGAGGGGTCCCCGCCCCGAGAGGGCACGGGCCCTGGGAGCCCCGCGGCCGGCCCGCCTCTCCCCCCCCCCGCCCCGGGCACGGCCCTTTTAGGGGCTCCAGGTCGGGGAAGAAGAAGTCCGGGGGCGAAGGAGGCAGTTCTGCCCGGTTGTTGTTGGGGGTTTCCTGTCCGGAAAATGGCCCGGGCTCAGGTTCTATCTTAGGAAACCTTTCCAGGGCTTGCCAAACTACAAAGGAACCTTGCTAAACTGCCAGGGGGACTCCATTTTCTTCCTGAAGTCGTGACTCCTCCGCTGTCTGCCCTCCTGCAGTCTGGAAATACAACCCGGGAGGATCGAAGTCACGCACCCACTGGGCATAAACGTGTGACGCCCCACAGGGCTGGTAATGGGGTTCTTTTTTTCTCTTCAGGAGCAGGGTCAGAGTTGGCTTCCACCTTGTGCCTTGCTTCATAGGAAATGGGTTCATTTACTAAACCCAGGCGCTGTGGTGAGTGGGTAATGTGTGCTGCCTCGAATGACCCTTGACCTCAGAACAGCTCTGACAAACTGGTGTTATGAGTATTGTTTTTAGTGATGTGATGATCAGAGAAGTGAAAACACGTCCCCAAAGGTGAAATTGGATCTCTTAGGACTGCTAAGTGATTTTTCCTGACCTAAGTTTCAGTATGAAAATCCCTAACATATGTGATGAACTTTGCTTGAAACTAAGTGCTGGTAGCTCAGTAGATAGACCATGTTTTTCTAAATGGTGGGTGGGTGATCGTGGTGTGGGTCAGAGGGTGAAACATTGTTCTTTGGGGACTGAAAAAAATCTATTTAATAGTTTCATATTTTGTACTGCAAAGGTCACCAACTATGGCAAAGAGAAAGTTGTGACTGGGTGGACTTTTTCTTGCTTTGAAAGCAAGAACCCCAAGTATACCATACTTTTATTAATGGTAGGACTTTTTGTTGATTGCTCAACTTAAGCAGGTGGACAGCATGGACCCATCAGCCGCATTGTGAGTTGTGTGTGTGTGTGTGTGGTGTGTTTGATCCTCAGTATTTTCATAGTCACTTGGACTTAGAGAATTAAAATTAATTTTCTGTTTTTAATCACATAATTACAAAAATTAGTCAACTCATCAGATCATGTGTGAAATGGAAAACTACTGACCATATTGGAATGAATACCCAGCAGTTAACAAGTTAAAAGTGACTTTCTCATATCCCCAAAAGGAGAAGTTACAACCAAGGTCCTTTAAAATTCTTTTTAAGTAATTCATTTTCAATCCATTTACTTTCCCTGGGAAAATAAATTCTGAAGCATTTTCAGTTACATCACTATGATATCGTGATTACATAATTCACTGAATTGCATATATAATTTGGTACCTTATGAATTATCTAAGTAAGTTATTTGTTTATAATTGTGTTTGTTTGGCAAATAGAGGTATCAAAATGTTATAATTAGGCACTGCAGTGGCCCTAGGTACATTTGTGTTGAAGTAGTGGATGCATAAAGAGGTAGGGCCTATTTGGAAAAGCAGGTCATTTTTGATGTGCTCTTGAAGGGTGAACTGGGATCCTGGGCCTTCTTCATTCTTTGCTTCTGAACTACCATGAGAACAACTTTCCTCTGCCTTGTATGTTCACAAGATTTTTTTTTTATACCGAGTCAATGATTTATTCTTATTCATTTAACATACTTACAATACACTGAACAGATTCCTTTACTGTACTGCTTGGAAGTCAGTGATATTAATCAAATGAGAATTTGCTATATTCCTTGATATCACTTCATTATTTGTTAACTGCTAAACAGCTTCTCTTGGTACCTACTGCTGCCTTAGGAGCTTTTCCTACTTAGTCACATAAAAAAATAAAAGTGGATTTTAATACAAGGCAAAGTAATGCTATGAGAAGATTAACCTGACAGTCAAATTCATCAGTACATGATCATTTTTCATGGACTATACATAATAACATTTAGTTTTAAATCATTTAAAATAATTTATCACTATTTTGCCATAGCTGGTTATTTTTTCTGTGTAGAGTTATTTTGCTTTTGTATTTATATGTTTAACATAGCTGAAATCATAGTAGTTAATTAAAGTCACTGTAAAATAGGTTCTGGTTTTTTCTCCACAAAATGTTTTAAATTCTTTTATTTAAAAATAATTATAGGTCCAAGAAGTTACCTTATAATACAAGTTTAGTCCTTACCTTTAGAGAGTTTGTTTTTAAAGAGTGTATTTCTGCAAATCCTGCAAATCAGGAATGTTAACCTTTGAGATGGCTTGGAACATGGTTCTAAAATTAGCTTGGTAAATACCTATGAACTGATAAATTATACAAGGGGGAGGTGGGAAGGAAAAACTGGGAGAAGGAGTCCTGTTCAAACAGGAATGTACCCATTACCTGACTTATATAGTATGTTCACAAGATATACTGTTTACATCAGGCCCAAAATGTACAGGGCCAAACCACAGGAGCTGAAACTTCAGAAACTTGGAAATAAATAATTTATACTTTTAATTTGATTTTCTTAGGTATTTTGCCAAAGCAACAGAGAGCTGGCTATTGCAAATGCTACTAGCATTTTAACTTTAATTTAGCATGATTTTAAAATTTAGTCATTCTTCAACCTTCATTGACTGAAGAGTAAGCTTCATAGAAGGGCTTTTGTGTATACAGTACATGTTTATGTAGAGAACATGAATTGAAAATATAGTAGATCTGTAGAATTAACATTTAATTGCAGGGAGTTTTGGGGGGAAAAGATAAAAAGAGATGGAGTTTTCAGATAAAAGAAAAAAAATAAACATGGAAATAGACCCAGATTCCCAAAACAGTGAGATTGGCAGACTATCAAGGTTAATAAAGGAAGAAAAAGAAAAAAAAAATCCTTTGGGTTCTCTGTAAGCTTATTATTTTTGATTGGGCAACACAATCATGTAATATGAAATGTAAAAATCCAAACGATGCATGACAAAAAAAAATGCAACTCTTTCTTGCCCTTATTATCCACCTTCCCCTAGTCCCTGGCCTGTTCTGTATCTTCGAGAGAAACTTTCTGTATCCCCATGTCTCATAGAGGGTGACCAATTTGAGACATTGCAATTTTGTTCTGAAAAATCCATGGCACAAATCCAGACATGGAAAGCTAACAGCAGCACCTGTGAGGAAAGCATTGGGTTTAGTTAACAATAGCCACAAAGTGAGCCAGCTTCCAAGGGGCTACCAGAAAAGATTAGCCAAGTGTGCCTGTAAATGTTCGCTGTCTAAAACAGCAACTGCAAATGATTGGAGCCTTGACTTATGTGAGCAGTGCATAGTAGATGAGCAGGGTGGGGGAACATCAGAGGCCCTGTCATGTAAAGACTGGTAGGAGAGAAGAGGACTCAGCGGGGACAAGAGCAGGCAGCAATGGGCACTCAGTTCAGAGACACCAGCTTTTACATCCTGAGAGGAATGAGAAAAATAGAGCCGTCAAGGCCAGAAGAGAGAATTCTTAAACTGGATTGGGCCGTCAAGGCCAGAAGAGAGAATTCTTAAACTGGATTGGGCATCAACTCTAGCTTTCTTTTCTTTTCTTTTTGGTCCTGGGCTTGAGCTCTACCTTTCTTTTGACTCTAAGAATGTGCTTGCAGTGGCTCTTTATAGGAGATCATTTTGTGTGGTAGAGCCTGTAGAATTGGTAAGTAAAAGTCAGTACTAGATTAAAAATAGATTGTTCAGGGTGAAAAGACAGGAGTGATATCTGAGATTGTACTGAAGTAAGCATTAAGGCTTAACAGTATTGGTTTTATCTAATGTGTCTTATTGGTGTAAAAATAAGATCATCATTATCGCTAAGATGGTTAGTAAATACTTCCTAAGAAAACTACATTGATTGTAGAATCTGAATATTGCAAAACTTTGGAATAAGGGTTGATAGATAATCAACTGAATATGCTTGCTATTCTTAAAATCCTTCTTAGTCAATTATGCCTTTCCATGCAATTGTGTTTCATGAACAGCAAACACTGTAGCTCAGACATAGAGTGGAAATACTTACAACCGACTTTTTAAAGGATAGTTATTTCCCCTCCCTCCCTTCCTCCCTCCTTCCCTCCCTCCCTCCTCCCTCCTTCCCTCCCTCCCTCCCTTCCTTCCTTCCTTCCTTGCTTCCTTCCTTCCTTCCTTCGTGTGAGTGCTGGAACTGGGGTTTGATATCAGTGCCTAGGTGCTGTTTCTTAGCTTTTTCCACTCAAGGCTGGCTGGCACTCTACCATAGCTCTACTTCTGGCTTTTTTTTTGGTTAATTGGAGATAAGAGTCTTATGGACTTTCCTCCAGGGCTGGCTTTGAACTTAAATCTTTCAATTTCAGTCTCTTGAGTAGCTAGGATTATAGGTCTGAGCCACTATCACTCAGTGAGTTGTATTTCCTTGAATGTCTGATTGATAGTACTTAGAGCTGGGACTGTATTCCGTGGTGGAGCACTTGTCTCATGTGGATAAGGCCCACATGAGACTTTTAAATGTGTGTAGCATAGGGCAGTGAGCAGTGTGGGCTTTGCAGCTTGATATGTCTGGGCTCCTATCACAGTTCTGCTGGGGCTCATAGGTATTTAATCAGTAGGTATTTGTTTATGGAGTCCTCTCTGTCCTTGGGTCTCTGCTAGGCACTTAGGTCACAGCCCTGAAGAAGGCAGACAGGGTCCCAGCCTTGACGGAGTTTATAGACTAGAGGGATACATGAATCTCTTTTTCAGTTTCTACGTCTGTGAAACGGAGATAATAATATCTTTTTTATAAGGTCCCTAGTAGGGTTCTAATAAGGTAATGTGTTAAGTTCATAGGATGGAATAAAAAATAAAACATTAACAATTAACAAATTAACATTAACAAAACATTAATAATTAACAAAACATTAACAATTAACATTAACAAAACATTAAATGGAGATAATATTACTTTAAATTAGATCAGAGCATGGAGCATAAGTTGGTATATTTGGCTTATTTAACTGTATTTCAACTGCAAAAAATATGAAAAAGAACAAAAAAATTGGTGGGACCCATAGTAATCATCTCATCTGAATTCCTCATTTAATAGATAAGGAAATTAAGTCCAGGCACTGACTTTCTATCCACTAAGATTTATTTACACAGATTAATAGAGCCTTGGAGCACAACTGAGGATTTAGAAGCCTTAATTAGGAGTAAAATCTGGAGATTTAAGCAAGATTCTAGAATGTATCAAATTCTATGCTGGGTGCCAGTGGCTCCCTCCTGTAATCCCAGCTCTCAAGAAGCTGAGGTCTGAGGATCGTGGCTCAAAGCCAGCCAGGGCACAAAAGTCTATGAGACTCTTATCCACTGAAAAGCCAGAAGTAGAGCTGTGGCTCAAGTGGTAGAATACAGTGCCAGGACCCTCAGTTTAAGCCCTAGGATCAGTACACACACAAACACACACACACACACACACACACACACACACACACACACACACAGAGTTTACAATTAATAATATGGCTTGTGTCTGTGGCTAACACTTATAATTTTAGCTACTCAGATACTGAGTTCTGAGAATAGCAGTTTGGAACCAGCTGGAAGATACAAGTTTATGGGTCACTTATATCCAATTACCCCACAAAAATCTGAAAATGGAGATGTGGTTCAAGTGGTAGAGCACTAGCCAGGAGCGAAAAAGCCAAGCATGTGAAACCTCGAGTTTAAGACCTAGTACCTTTTAGCCTTTAGATGGATGTCTTCATTTTAAATAGATTTACACAGCAGGTCTACATGTTTATTGAAACTATTGAAAGTTTTCTACACTTCGGTAGGATCTAATCTATGGCTTTTTTGCTCCCTGGCCTTTCTTCTTCCTCCATAGAATGGGAACTGACCGACATGGTGGTGTGGGTGACTGGAGCATCAAGTGGCATTGGTGAGGAGCTGGTTTACCAGTTGTCTAAACTAGGAGTTTCTCTTGTGCTGTCAGCCAGAAGAGTGCATGAGCTGGAGAGAGTGAAAAGAAGATGCCTGGGTAAGTAAACCTAAAACAGCAGCCAAACTTGCTGGAAATGAGTTAGAATCCAATTTACTTGTAACTTTGGGAACTTTTGAGGGAAGAGGTGATGCTCCCAGAGTTCCAAGAGCTCTTTTGTCATCTCCTAAGTGTCTGCCCTTGCCTTCTCCTTCTTATACTTCAAAACAACCAAAACCCATAGATATTAAAGTTCATCTACCCAGATTTTTCATGGATCCTTAGTGTTTGGGAGTGACCTAGAGGATTTTTAATCATTAAGTGACTCATAGCTTTATATTTGAGAAAGTACAGTTTGATTTTTTTTTTGTTTTACCAATGACACTGAAACAGTTAGAGCCTTATTCATTTTTGCTTAATGTCAGATATTAAAGTCAATGTAGGATGATGTAGAACTTGTTATATAGGATATAAGAACATGAATGACATTAGGTTTAAACATGTACTCTGGAGTTCATCTTTCATATTTGTATACTAAGTGGCAGTGTCTATTTATTTAGTCGGTCATGGGGCCTGAACTCTGGGCTTGGGTGCTGTCCCTGAGCTGCTTGTGCTAAAGGCTAGCGCTCTACCACTTGAGCCACAGCGCCACTTCTGGCTTTTTCTGCTTATGTGGTGCTGAGGAATCGAACCCAGGGCCTCATGCTTGCAAGGCAAGCGCTCTACCCCTGAGCCACCGTCCCAGCCCCAAATTTTTTATTTTTTTGAGACAAGGTCTCACTCGGTAGGTCAGGCTGGCCTTGAATGCACTATAGTATAAGAATAGGCTGGCTTTGAAGTCAGGCACTTCAGAGACCTGTCTGCTGGGATTTCAGATGTGTGTGCCACTACCCTTGGATAGTATTTATAATTTTGTTGGCTTGGGTTTTGGATGCTTTGAAAACAGCCTCAAGTAAAATATTTATTATATCATAGGGACTTCAGTATTTAAACTGAGATACTTTTGAATTTTCTACCAGATCATATTTTGCTCATCTATCATTCTTTCAAAAATCATTCTTTTACTTTGATGATTGAGCTAACCACATAGCAATGTGGGAATTCATCCCCATACACACTCAGAAAGAACCTAAGACTTACTTCTTCTTCTAGTTTAGAAGCCTTTTGTGCTTATGTTCATCATCCTTTTTTTTTTCAAGGTAATATTAGGGTTTGAACGTAGGGTCTCATACTTGCTAGATTGGTGCTCTACAGCTTGAACCACACCACCCCATCCTTGCTTTTTGCTGGTTACTTTGCAAATGGAGTTTAGCAAACTGTTCTACCTGTGCTGGGCTGGAATGGCAGTCCTCTAGATCTTAGCCCCCTCAATCACTAGAATTACATTCATGAGCCACTGGCACTTGGCTACAGTGTACTGTTTCTATGGTTTTTGGTCCTCTCTGGCTGTGACTTGCCACGCTTGCTCTGGCAGTGATGTTGGCTTTCCTTTTTCCTGTTAGATCATTGACACAAGCCTTCTGGTTGCTTTGAATACATTCAGTGGTTCACCATTTCCTATTTTAACTACCAAACCTTTAATATTGTACCTTTAATACTTCTTAGTCTTGCTTGCTCTTGCTGGCACCTCTCACCCTCGCTGCCTCACTCTGGTTCTGTTCATGGTATTGAGGATGGAACTCAGGGTCCGGTGCTTGCCTGACAATGCCCTTATCACTTGGACCATCTCCTATGCTCTTATTGGCACTTCTTATATTTTAAGGCAGGGTTCAGGGAAATTACTTTCAATTGTTCTTTTGCTGAATACCAGGAAGAAGGGCCAGTGGCTAGTCCTCCATGCTGTGGGAAACAAATAGTGAATTGTGTTCTCTTCCTTATCTGCTTTGTGTAGCCCTCGAAAGAGAAGCCATTATTCCAAGACCTCTGAGCTTCTTACTGAATTACAATGTAAACTGTAAATTAAAAGGAATTTTTTTAAGGGGCTGGGAAGGTGGCTCAGTGGTAGAGTGCTTGCCTAGCATGCATGAAGCCCTGGGTTCGATTCCTCAGTACCACATAAACAAACAAACAAACAAAAAAAAACTGGAAGTGGCGCTGTAGCTTAAGTGGTAGAGTGCTATCCTTGAGCAAAAGAAGCTCAGGAACAGTGCCCAGGCCTTGAGTTCAAGCCCCACAACTGGCAAAAAAAAAAAAGTAATTTTCAGGACAACAAGTAAACTTTGTGACTCTGTTGTAAAACATAATATGGCTCTGTATTTTTAAGGTATTGTATTACGTTTGCATGTTTTGTTGTAATCTACATTTTAATTTTTAAATTTTTTTTTTGAGATGTGATCTTACAATGTAGCCCATGCTGGCCTTGAACTTATCATTATCTTGATTCTAACTTCTAAGTTCTGGAATTACAGATGTGGGCTATTTCCCTTGACTCATTTTCTTGGGCCATTTTTATAATCGACTTTTGCCAGAGTGCAGCGTGCCTTCCTTCTTGATAGGCAAGTTAGCATTTTTCCTTAAGATATTTCCATATTACCACTGTCTATTCCTTGATAAATGAGAAACACAAAACCACCCAGAGATGATATGATGGCCAACTCTTGTTGTAAGGTAGAAGGTGGTTAATGCTAACATGGGAAAAACAACGATCTCCAATGACTAATAACATAATATCACGGTAATGTTTATGTGTCTTTATTTAGAGAATGGCAATTTAAAAGAAAAGGATATTCTGGTTTTGCCTCTTGACTTGACTGATAGAAACTCTCATGAGGTTGCAACCAAAACTGTCCTCCAGGAGTTTGGTAAAGTAAGTAGCATTTCTGTATTGCTAGAATATTCATTGTGTTGCTTTGCCTGGCTTTGAAGTGATTGCTGATAAGATTCCTTTCTGGGGTCTCTCATTCACAGAGAGCTTGATAGATGGGCTCTACATAGCAAGATCAGACCTATCAGGTGGGCTTTCTAATCTCTGTACTTTTGGCTTTAGATAATTGCTTTTTCACATCTTTACAATAACTGACTCTTCTATGTAGAACAATGCTGGTCCTGGAACTTGACCTCAAGGCCTGGACACTGTTCCTGAGCTTCTTTTGCTCAAGGCTAATTCTCTATCATTTGAGCCACAGTGCCACGTGTGTGTGTGTGTGTGTGTGTGTGTGTGT